GATATGTGAACTGTTATGTAAAGGTTTTGATGTAAACTATGGAAGCGAAAACTTATTAGAAGCCAGATATTCTTGCCACTACAGCTGGATTTGGACCGAAGTATTTGCCCACCACTGCATTAAAAGAACAGGTCACTCCAAATAAATGCAATGCTGTGATCACCTTTTTCCTATTTCCATCCTAATAGAATGGATGTTAATATTCGCAGGGTCAAAGGTCACCGTGTGGTGGTACAAAATGATATGAAGCCTATGCATTGGCCTTTGCAGTCAATCCAGTTGAACCTATGATTTACAGTTTTGCTCTTCGGTACATATTGTGTGATATTACAAGAGTTTTCACACATCTCTTTAAAAAGCTCAAAGTTACTCATTTACTCATTCTATCAAATTATATACCTTTTACTGAACCTGAACTTTACTCAAACATAATGGAGTGCTGGTGGCAGTACTGAACTTTCCAAAAACTTCTGAGACTTTCGCAAAAACAACTACTTTTTCTTTACAAACACTACAATCCAGAACCTAACAAATGCTAACACAATGGTGTATGGCTACAAAACCACACAGAAAACCATATGGCTCCTATTTGAATCATCAGACACATGCTGTACTGATTTTACAGCAAAATCTTTTTGTATGTGAAAACTATTTGGCTGATGCACACTCAGAATCAGCAACACGTGTGGTCTGAAACTTGCAATTGTAGAAAATACATCTGGGAGATCAACAGAAAAAAAATATTATATTGCAAAAGAATAGTCATGAAAAACAACAGAAGGCAACAAATGCTTTGCCGTGCTGCTGTTTTTTATAGGTGGCCCACAGTTTGTTTAGACCTGTATCTCCAGCCTGCGTTGTTGTAACTGCAACACAATGTACAGCGCATGATGATGTGTGAATGTTTATTTTAAGGCATAAAGAGAAACTCATAACACAGAAGTCAGCTTTTTGCTCTTGTGTTGTAATAACAGCTATCAACAGATGACTGTGAAAACAGAGTCATAAACACCGGCTCCTCCCTGCGTAAAGCTGAGAGAAGACATACAATCACAGCTTGTTTGGCTCTGTTGTCTGCTGTGGCTTCAGGCTGTCTCGCTGTCTCTCTACCAGTGACACAGGCGTGTCAGTCATGCAGGTGTCTTATTGTCTCAGTTCTATTGTTCGCATCTTTCAAAGCCAATACAGTACATTTAATTACTGGTTGGTGCAGGCAGTTGACTGTCATGTAACAATGAGCTGTCGCTGCGTGTCACAAACCCTGTTCCTGTAAAGTTTACTGTCGGGCAACAGGCTCAGAGATTGTGTGTGCGGAACTGTAATGTATTATGGATAATTCCACAGCAGAACTTAAACATTTAATTGTATATAATAAAACTTTTAAATGCTACATTTAAAAATTTAATTGATTTATGTGAGTGTCTTTCACCAAATGCTCACTTACAAGCTTGCCAGACACTGGATTGCAACAGCTAAGAAATAACAATAAGGAACAGACATTGCATTAACATTGATAGATAAAGTGACATAAAATATTGCATAAACAAACAGGTATAAATGCGTTTCTGAAGCAGAAACTGATGTAGCAGTATGCAGCACTTAGCAAAAAAGTAAATGAAATAAAGCTTAAAACACTGACCCCCTTTCCAACACTTCAAGATCAGAATCCACCTTAAGACATTATCATGTTGGTTGACACACTACAAAAGATATTCTCACAAAAATATGATCAAATTAACAAAAAGCAATAAAACACTATCAGTGAGTGAAGCTTTCATTCTCTCATTGTGTTCAGTTGGTAATCCATCATGATTGACTGATTTTTTCATTTGCTGAAGAAAGCTAATTTTTAATGTTGTTTATCCCATATTAATCCAAATTTTCCTGTTTATATTTATTGTTATTTTTTATTCTGAGAGCAAAACAAGCAAAGGCTGTTGGGGGTAGAAGTTGAGTCTGTTTGCTTTCACTCCTCGGTGTTGGTGAATCACGAGTCTGTTAGATCCAGAGAACAACAAAGCATTTGAGCTACGTCTAATTTTGTCCAGCAGATGACACCAAACGACTCATGAAGTAATGCCGAGCGGCAACTCCCATTCACTTCTGCAATGAATCAAGGATTGTCCAGTTACTCAGATGCTGTACTTGAGTACAGTTTTGAGGTATTGATGTGTGCAAGTATTTTTAGCTTTTTATTAATTGTACTGTAAACAGGAAAAACTGTCCTTTTAGTGCACTGAATTCGGTTGTTGGTGGTTGTTTGGGTTAAAGATTTTACATTAAAACACATGATAAGCATATTAATAAAACACTGTATCAAAGATTTAACTCGTGGATCTCAATCGTTTTACTTATGTCCACTTATTTGGCATCATTGTCTACATGTGTATCGACATATTATTTCAAGTTTTACCACAGAAGAGACATTTCCATGAAAGCTTCTCGGATGGTTTAATTTATACATGTGTTTAAATGCAACTTGCATTACTGTTAATAATGTAACAGCATCTTCTGTACCTTAGTTGCAAGAGATATATTGTTATGCACAACAAGTACTTTTTCTTTAATATTTTAAGTGCAGTTTGAGTCATTCATTTACATTCTGAGAAGAGGAAATGTTAGTTTCTTGCAACAAAACACAGCAAAAATGAACCATCGGATACTGAAATCATCTATTCAAAAAAAGAGAAGGAACTGCACCGGGTCACTTCTGCACTTTAGATCTTGAAAGCAGAACTTTTACTTGACTATTTTACAGTGCTGTTTGGCTCCTTTACCCAAGTGTCTGAATGCTTCTCCACCACTGAATGGCACAAACTGATAACATATTATCACCAAAAGCTTTTTTCCCAGATATATTTCTTGCGCTGTAAGGCTATAACTGCATTATCTCATAAGAGTGAATATCTTTTGCTAATTAGTGTTGCACAAGTAACCAAAGTTCACTTTTTCTTATAGGCGGAATGAGCATAATCTCTTCTGCATCTTTGAGGGGTTGCAAATGTTATTGAACATGTAGACTTCTCAGTTACTTCCCTAACTAAATGACGTGCTATATTCACACCCAGAGAGGTCATTAGCTACACTGATTATCTGCTTTTCTGTACATGGCCACAGAGTACAGAATCCTCTCCTCACAAGCTTCCCAGTGTATCCTTTTTCATCTCAATCTAAATCCGTTCACTCCCGTGGGCCTTGTTTTCATTGTTTTCTGATGTCATTGTATGTCAGTAAGCATTGTTGCTCCTGGTGAAAGGAACCAGTGAACGATGCCCACAAATCATTGTCACTGCACGCTGTCACAATAATTCTGGCTGTCTGGTGTATCTAACTTTAGCCTCCCTCCTAAAGATAATTGCTCCATAACTAATTTCTGTCCTGTTCTGCCCTATCCCATAATCAATACGCTGATGTTTTCATCTTGTGCCATTATTTATATCAACAATGTGAGCCCTGTTTTCTCCGTCTCATGAAGAAAAACAGGGCTTTATCTTTATCCATAAAAATTCTTGGTTTTCATTGTGTAAATACAATATGCTGTTTTTAAAAATGGTACATGCCGTACACTGTAGGTTATTACCATCGTCCCATGGACCTCTGGGTAAGTGTTCATCATATCCAGACATTCTTACATAATCTACATCTGACCCTGCAACCAAGGAGGGGTTATTGGAAACGTGATTGAAATGCAGATGTCTTGTTTCCAAACAGGTGTCCCGGGAGGTGAAATCAGGTGGGACTGAAGAAATTGTAAAAGTGTGACGCATCCTTGGATAGTGTGACAAATGTCCTCTCTCACCGTGGGCACTTTGGCAAAAGTACAGATGCTCCTTTTCATTCAGTATTTCTGGCAAACAATAGGCCTTCTCAGTTGAGCAGTAACAGTTGTGGCCTATAGCGATGTAGACTAGCTGCCATGCAACTCTATGGAGACAAAAAAAGGAAAGGGAAACTTACAAAGGTTTCTCTTGGTTGGGTGAGTACTTCATAGCTTGTGGCAATCATGATCACCTTTCAAGCATTCAAAGTGATTCACTCTCAAGACACTGATCCACGATTCGCAACAGGGGATTTCTATGCAATTACTTTTATGTCTTCGAAGATGAACATCCACTATACCTTTGTTTTGATGTTTTTGGTTTTGGAACATAGATTTGAGATTATTTGCAATGCAGGGCAGCATGTTACTATTAACCTCTTAAGACCTGGCGTCCACATGGGCATCACATTTTGGGTTATATTACCACAGTGGTTAATTTTTTAAACATTTTTTTTTCTTATTTTATTAGAATTGTTTTATTATTTTATTTAAAAAAAATTTATATATTGTTTAGATCAAATAGCAAAGAGAAATAAAAAAAAAATGCATGTCAAACAAGAGCTCGGGTCTTAAGTACAGAAACCATTCTGCTATCATATTAAGCACATTTATCCTGCAAGTTTATCAGTCATTATTTCATAAATGGCATTTCAACTGCAGTGTGCTAATCAAGAACCTGAAGGTTTTCAGTTAAGTTCTCCGAATGATGCAAACACATTCTATATGAAACAGAAAGTTCAACATATTGTTTTCCAACAATATTGTCGATTGTTTCAAAATGCAGCTCTTAAACTCCTATTTCCCACTAAATATGCACACTGCATTCGAGTTTAAATCTCATTTGCTTCTGCACAGCCTGCTCTGACAGCCAACATTTATATTTCTAACCTCTTGCACTTTCATAATTGTTTCTGATGGAGGGAAACCTGAAACATAGTTAACCTGAGGGATCTGTGTCAAATCCCACGGACACATTAATCTGCAAAGGTGAGGATCTGACAGTAAATCCTGCCAGGAGCTGCTGCTGTCTAAATGAGAAGTCATGGTACAAACATGAAGAAAGTGTGGGTGATTGTGTACGTGTGTGTGTGTGTGTGTATAGGATTCTATAATTAGTTGAAGGGAGGGCTTTAGAGTCACACCGCCACGGTTTTAGGTGTCCTGAACACTATAAAAGCCATATTGCTCTACTGTTCTGTGACATACACCTGCCCAGGTACCAACAAGGTAAGACCCTCCTCAGGTTGTTACATCGGCCTTATATTTTAGAATGACAACATCTTTCTATCTTATGAATGAAGGGACATAAATTAAACATTGTAATTTTTTGCGGTACAAGAAGAGACAAAGTTTGCAGCTTAATTTTTGCCAGTTCATGGTTGTCTAAAGCCTATTTTTGCATTGATTTTGTGAAGATTCAATTTGCAGAAGATGAAAAAGTTGCTACTGTTATTTTGTGTCTTTCTACTTATTACAGGAGCCAAACTGACATAACCTACCTCAAAAAGCATGAATCTTTACGTTTGTCTCCCTCTGCTGGCTGTTCTGCTGCAACCTGCTGTGTGTCTTTACAACTGTTCATCTCAGTATGAGAGAACTCCAGGTAGGTTCATCACTATACTTACCAAATAGTGAGATTTGTGCAGTGGGAAAAGCTATATGTTTTGACAAATGTGGTGTTCATTCGTGCCACATGTTGACGTTAAGTAGCAGCACCTGCCTTTAGATTTAAAGTCTCTCAATGTTCAAGCACAAAGCTGTGCATTTATCTAATTCTCTTGCTTTAATTGACATTCTCTCCTTCTCAGACAACTCGGACATGGTGGTTGACTGCGGCCCTAGTGTGATTACTCTGGAGGTCAACTACTGCACGGCTCAGTGGGCAGGCTTCAACGCCACAGAACTGTCACTGAATGGGAACCACAACAATACAGACTGCCAGGGCTCCATCGACACCAGTGTGGACCCCCCAATCATCCGCTACCAGCTTCCTGTTAACCACAGTCAGAGTAACCCCTGTCGCCAGTCTCTGCAGGTCAGAAAACATCTGTTAGAAGATGTTGAACAGTATTGACTGGTACAAATAGAGACATAAATATGTTGAAGCTAGAGGTGCATTTGGATGTTAGATGTTTAATCATTTATTTAGAGCTGTTTGGCAGCATGTAAGACCCTCAGGTGATGATTGTGTTTGTTGCTGTCTTGCTCAGATCGTGGATGAAGCACCAGACCCCACAGGTCCCTTCAGCAGCTTCTTGAGCATCCAGTCAGTTATCATCACAGGATTTATCGACACACCCAGATCTGACCAGGGGGTGATCAGCTACTCTACAGACCTCTATTATCACTTCTCCTGCCGCTATCCACTGGAGTACCTGCTCAACAACACACAAATTGCAGCGTGAGTGATTAAAAATATTTATTTTGTGCAAAAAAGCTTTTTGTAAATTAATACAAGAAATTTTAAAGTTTGTTTTCATCCTGTTATTTTTACATCTTTCATATGATTTTTTTTAGCTCTTCAGTCTCGGTGGCAACCAGTGAAAATAATGGATCCTTCATTGATACACTAAAAATGAGTGTTTTTAATGTAGGTACAACTTGACATCCAAGTTACATTTTTCAGTTACATGATTTTCCAAAAAAAATGTTGTCTACCTTTAATCTGATGTCTTGTTTCCTCAGGACACCGATTATGGCTATCCATTACTTGTACCTTCAGCTGGACTTGAGCTACGAACCAGGATCTATGTGGAGGTCAAGGCCATTAACCTCACAGGAAAGTAAGTAAATCCTATTAGGGTGAGTGGATGCTATATTGAAATAAAGGTCATGACGGTGTATTCTCGGGGCAAATTGTAACCCCTTGTCCTGTTTTCAGCTTCAATGTACTGCTGGATCACTGCTTTGGGACTCCCACTCCTTACAACATGTCGCAGAATGAACAACACAACTTTTTCACCGGGTAAGAAAGCACACATCATTCTTCTTCATACACGGAGGATAAAATGATTACTTTTATGTTACTTTTTAAAAATATTCACAATGTGATCTTGCTCTCCACTAGCTGCACAGTAGATGGCAGAGTGAATGTGACGAGCAATGGCCTCTCCAAGGTTGCCCGGTTTAACTTTGAGGCTTTCCGCTTTGTGGCGCACCGTGACAAGGCAAAGTCCAGCATCTATCTACACTGCATAATGAGACTCTGTGAGCCCAGCAAATGTGAAGAGCTGCTGTCTGTAAGTTGAGAAGCCGAGAACAAATGACTCTAGCTTTCAGGACATCAAATGGCAACTTTCAAAAGTACCCACTGGCAATATATCTAGGACAAAGATCCAGTTTAACACCTTTCATATTGCTTTTTATATTACTATCAGCTTATTATATAACTCACAATAACTGCAACAAAGATGCATTCATCCATCCAGTGATGTTGTGGTGTATAGTTGGAAACCCCCAGGCCTCCAGGACAAGTTTGTGCTAGCTGTGATTTTTGTGTTTTGTTAAAAGATAAAAACAAATGAATTACACACTATGTCTTAAACTTAATGTATTTAAACCTAAGGTGACCTAAACGCACACACATAAGTTGCATCAGGTCGTATTGTGATAATATGTCCATTGAAAAACCTCTATGTTCACATTATATGACATAGACTGAACCCAACCTGTTGTTTTTCAGGGTTGTTCTTCCAGAAGAAAAAGATCTTTGACTCCTTTTGGAGAAAGGAGTAGTGAATCTGCCACTGTCTCAGTTGGACCTCTTTACACTGCTCAAGAAGGTTTAAAAGACACATTTTTACCCTTTTACTGTGATTTTCAAACAACACCATGATGAACCTTTTCACTGATGAACTGATTTTCTTATAGGTGTGCCTTTTGCAGCTGCTTACAGTAAGTATACTTTAATGACATTTTTAGATGTAGAAATACACCTTAATTTCTTTGACAACCCCAAGAACAATCTCTTGTTGTGTGTATTAGGTAATGACGTGGAACCAGAGTGGGACGATGACGATGTGACAGGACTGGTGGTCGGTGTGGTGTTTGGCTCAGCTGCTGCTGTTTTACTGGTTCTCGGTGGCTGGTTTGTCCTGAAGAAGTTTTATTGGGTGGGAGGGTTATCTCATGCGTTTGCCTGACACACCAACTTGAAAATTGTCTTTGCCTCACACCACATTGTAACTGCAGGTGTATTGTAAATATATGAAAAGTCAAGGTTTTTCTGTAATAATGAAATGTTCTTGTCAGGTGACTATGGAGGCCAAGAAAATAACTTGCTATCTTGTGTAACTTTGTATGCTTATTGCATTCAAGAGTTGGAAATGAAGGAACAGCTGAACCTGAGCTGTAAGAAAGAAATATTTACTATGTAAGCAATTAAAGAATAGAGTCATTTTTATTTTTTATGGAAGTGCAAGTTTGCTTTAATAACACCTGTGAATCTGCCTGCCCTGCTATATGTTCTTTTTCTACAATATCATAAATGTTTTGTACAGAATCCTAATAAAACCACTGTTGAACAAATTCAAATATGGAGTGTATGCTTGAAATAAATTAAGCAAAAATACCCCCAAAACCTTAAAACTCTTTGGATGATACAACATATTTAAAGTAAAATGGCAACAGATCATTTGTAGTGTATTAACAAAAACTTTACTCTTCAAAGCATCTTTTTACATTCCACAGTAAATACATATTGACACACACAGAATGAAACAAACACATCAGTCAAATTCATGCATTCATAAATATTTACAAGCTACTTACTGGGCTGGTATGATGACAAACAACAAGCCACATTTACAAGAATACAGGTCCAATAATTCATTTTAATGGGACTGTATCACTGATGAAGTTAGTGCTTTTTGTCACTGCACTGAGTGCAGAATGTCCTGGATCAGAGCAGAGAGTTTAACTGAAAAGTCCTCCTGCAAAGAGTCACCTTCCTGTAAGGATATGGAAGAAGCCAGATGCAGGCTGGAGGTTCTGTGAGTCTCCAGCTCCTCTTCCAGCCCTGTAAACAGCCTCTCCATCCGGGCCTGAAGCATTTGGCTCTGCAGGGCTGCATTTTGGCAGAACTGTTCCACGCTGCCTGCCACCTCCGTCCTACGAGGTTGTGCAGATTCTTGCAAAGCAGCAAGCTGTGCTTTGAGAGCCCCTGCCCTGTTCTGTGCCTCCTCCCTCAGTGAACTCACTTCTTGTCCCAGCCTTGAGCTCATTTCCTGCCAGACCTTTGACTTGGCTGCCTCCTCCTCACCAGCACTGATCTCTTTCAGATGTTCAATCACTGCACTGGCTGTGGAGTGGAAGTCATTGAAGATGTTAGCAAGTTTCAACCTGCTGTGCTCCAGGGTTTGGCTCATCCATTGGAAGGCTTCCTGATAGAGAGCCGGACTGGCCTCTACCTGGGCCTCGGCCGTCTCCAGGCCCTGCAGGTAGAGACTCAGCTGGCTGCACAGATCTTGGGTGTTGCTGCTGAGAGAGCTCCCAAGCTGCTGGGTGAGGGGAGTCAAGCGCTCCCTCATGCTGGCCAGGGTGGAGCTGAGATGGTCTGGAGATGGGGACAACTTCTCTCGCAGCTCGGCCAGCTCTTGGCGCAGACGGATACGCAGACGCGCTGACTCCATGTTGAGTTTGCGCTGCATCTCCTCTGCCACAATGTTTTGGCTGTCATCATTTCCTTGGTTGTAAAGGCTGCTACTGTCTATGTTGCTCTTGTAGATCTTACTGAACAAAGAAAGCAAGAAGCACTCGTTTATAAAGTGTCAGCTGTGTTCAAGGTTACGTGCAGATTCATGTCAGATCCTTTTATAGATTTATAGTTCCTTAGTTTAGTCAACTTACTCCAGATATTTTGGGTCTGTCTTGTCATGAGCCTGGTTGGCCTTTGAGTCAGTCCAGGTTGCCTCCCTGGTGTCACCGTGTAGTGGGTATGCTAAAGAACAAGAAAGAATACATTAACAAAAAGCAGAAATAGGCAGCAAAAAAGAAAAGTGGAAAAAAAAATGTAGAGGAAAAATGAATACCTAAAGTTGTCAAAAATGACAGGGCGAAGATCACCACTCGTAGATGCATCTTTATCTTTCTGTGGAGGGACAGATGAGAGAAATACATAAGAATTTTACTGTAGGACAGACAAACTTTTTAAATCTGAAACATTACAATAAATTATGTATAACTCGCTTTCACAAATTACCTTCTCAGAACAGGAAGAAGATCAGTTTGTGAATGAGTGACTGGCCTTTACCTGAGGATCAGAGGTCTGCAGAGCTCCGTCTCCTCTCATCTGACTTATAAAGGTCCTTGTTATCAGAGTGGCAGCCCAAACTCTGCCTGTGTCAACAGTCAACACGTGGAGGGTCACACTGATGTTGGAACACAACATGCACATACACACACACACACATACTATGCCAATACCGTCCACTGTTCAACATTCATAAAACTTCCTTCTTGCAGCATTGATTAAGAATGTCACACTGATAAGGATGAACCATTTCAACAGAACCCCAAAGATAGTCGGTCATATAACCAGTCGTTAAAATGGATCAAATAAGATTTAAAATATTGCAGTGAGATAGGTATACTGTCAGCAATGCATTTGCACACTTAATTGGCATAAAAACAAAACATAAAAATGAGGCACAAGTTTATTGGACCAACCACAAACAGTTCACCAAGTTCACATTTGTATGTCCACAGCCAGATAAGAAATCTGGCAGGATTTCTGTCGTTTTTTTTTTTTTTTTTGTACGTCAAAAGCCCTTTATGCCAGCAACCAGGAAGATATGAATATTTACAGATGAGCTCACTTGTTTAATCCACGGTGCAGATTGCGGCTTTTCAAGTATTATTCATGATTTGAAGTGGGTTTTTGTGTTTTGTGTGTTTTAAATTGTGTAAGAATTCAGGATAGAGAGTTCAGCTCACACAGCTTGATTACCACGGCTTGTTTTGGATGCTTGACAATCAACAGTTTACACATTGTTGTTTGTGCTGCTAGTCAGGACAGAGCATCTCAAAGCAGCACAAGCAAATACTACTGATTATACTAAACTCTGTGTTCTTTTTACAAAACAAGGAATGACAGAAGTCAACTTAAAAGGTAGTTTTAGCTGCTGGTGTATTTTATATTTTTACATTTTTGGCAATAAAAAGCATATTTCCTGTATTTCATACCTTGTTCATGAACTAATTATTCTGCTTTGCATTTGTAAGTGCAGTGTGAAGGGTTTTTCCACCAGTGACAGGAATATGTGGGTGAAAGTTGAATCCTGCGCAGTTAGATAAGTTAGAAGTCGTCATCAAAGGATCATAGTCCATGGCTGCCCTGATGAAATATGTAGGTTATTCCAGTTATCCAAAGTCCAGCATTTATTTCAATACAATAACAGTGTAGAGTGAGTAAGACTTTGGTTACCGTTCACAAAAACAACACTGTTGACTGTTTTCTGTTCTCATGAGTTGAATGTTGAACAGACAGCATGTGTGTAAATACTGTATGTGGTCACAGAAGGCCTTATTACACACAAATGGTGACATGAAAACACAAATAAGTAGGACTTTACAATTGCAGAAAATACCACGTTGCACAACTCATTGTGTAACTCTTGTGTTAAAATGACCGGTCAGCTCATTGCACTTCATATCACAATAAGCTGGGCCCCACAATGTTTTCTTTTAATATAGAGCAAAAGGGAACAGTCTTACTTTTGTTCAAGTTAATAGACATCAGGATAAGACGAACTACCTAATAAAGGTTCCATAGAAGAAAGCGAAGTGCCAGTTGTGTCAGTGTTTATACTGGATGTAAGAAATAAATGCTTATTTAAATGATTTTTGTCAACTGCACTACATTTATAGTAAAAAAAAAAAAGACACCTATTGATACAAATGACCTGTCAGTTGTGAGCCACACAGACCTTGACCTCAGCCGTACTTCTCATGATGCTATCAACAAGTAAACACAAATGTACAACAATAACAGTCACGTTTGTCAAATTGGTTCATTTATGGCTGTAGCTGAATCAGCAGCTGGCTTGCAAAATGCGAGGTATTATATCTGAGCAGACATCTGAGCTCGACTTGTGTATTTCAAAATGAAGTCAGCAGCTGCTGTGACGTATATAGCGTTCAACAGACTCCGCTAAAGCAAAGCTGTGTTGATGCACGCTGGGAGCCAAATCATTAATCAGTATCATGGTAGGATTGAGAAGAACAAATGCAGTAATGTGATCGGGCAGCAACCAGGCAGCTGCTTTTTTTCTTGCTGCTTTGCACCGGTAACCAGTTACACCACTGTCACTGTCACCTTACCTTACTGGCCTCATAAATCATTCAGTGAGCCATTGAAAGTTATGCAGACTAACTAGCCCACTACTTATCTTGCAGCTCTGTCTACCAATAGACAGATCAGGTCAGTGGTAGGAGCAGGAAGGAGAATTTTACCGAATCGCTTTCTTGGTCATGGTTAAAAAAAAAAAAAGGATCATGGCTGAAGCACTAAAAAGCATGTGTAGGCTTCAGTAGGTGGACATGTTAACAATGCTACGGACCTGCATGTGCATGTGGTTTGGTTGTCTGTGGTGGATATTTGCTTCTGTGCTGCTAATTCTGGCTCAAGGAAACAACGTCAGCCAACACAACCAGGAGAGGATTCCCTGCCAGCCAGGTATGACTGGATACTATGGTTTTCCATCATTCTTAATAACATGGCATCAGCAGAAAAGAAAAATAGAACAAATTCTTACAGAAATATCCATATCACACTGCTCTCAGGACATGTTGTTGTTTCTGTTAGGTTACTACTGCCCACTGGGAAGTCTCACTCCAGTCCCCTGTCCTAAGGGAACCTATGGACCAACTGCTGGAGCTGTATCCCTAGATGGCTGTCTGAAGTGCCCTCCTCACCACTACTGCCCCAGACAGGGCTTGTACACCTCCCTCCCCTGTGGTCCTGTGGCTCAACAGCCACTGTCTGGCCAGGACACCTGCATCTGCCCAGGAGAGGGACAGAGTTTTCAGGTGATGTTTGCTTGTTTGTTGTTCCTGTGTTTTTTTTAAGCATCAGCCTGGTCATTCTTGCAGATTGCGTGTTAGGAGTATCCATGTGCTACTTCTGGTGCTTGTTTTCATATGAACATCACAGCCTTCTACAGTACAGGTCACCTACTTCCTCCTTTGTCTGGGAGTTCATCCATTATTCTATTAAACTATAATGGAACTCTAATCTCACAAGCTTATGATTTTTTTTCTTTGTGTGTGTGTAACCAAAATGTCTTAGGACACAGTGTGCAGACTAATATAGTCATGAGAGTAGCGTCCTCACGGTCACTCAGAAACTTTAGACTAAACAATCTGTAGCTTCAAGCTGAAAGAGCTCCGGATCAAGTTCCCCCACAGCAGGGTCTGGTTTCTGAGCCTGCTGCAGCGTGCATAGCTGTTGAGGTCTCCACTCACCAGCTCTGAGTAAAGGGAATGAGATTTTTCTTCTGACTGTGGCATCGGAGTTTGTGGAAGGATTAATATAGAATAAAAAAAGACAGGAAGTAATTTTAAAAAATGAGAGTACGAGGAGAAGCAAATAGGTGGTAAAGGTAAGGAAAGGTCTGGATTTGTCACTGAATGAATGAATGAATGAATGAATGAATGAATGAATGAATGAATGAATGAATGAATGAGGACCAGTTTGGTGTATTAAGTAACACATTGACCACAGCATGAACTGTACTGTCTTTTCCACAGACCAGTCATGGCCGTTGCCACTGTACCATCGGGTATCAACCCACCGCCAACGGAGATGTGTGCGTGCAGCAACTGTACAATGTCTGCAGAGATGGAAAAACTCGCACACAGTATGGAGACTGTTTTGACAGATATCAGTGGTCACTTCACTGCAAACAGCAGGTTCGGCCTTGTGTGATAATATCACACTCAGATATACGCACTGGAAGTAGGGCAAAGGGAACTGGTCTATCTCTTCTTAAAAAAAAAAAAAAAAAAAAAGACACTAGACAGGAAACTGGTCCTAAAGATATGGAACACAAGCTTAGTTTTAAACTGTGATCTGTTTACAGAACACACTGAATAAACAAACACCACCGTCAAAGACAAGGCTAATGAGTACAACCTAGATGTCTTTGCCCTTTATTCCATGAACCTGACAATAGTTTATCTGGTACAGGCTACTATTAAGCTCACTTAATATTTAACCCTAAACTGCTTTCCCTGGTTAGCAGTGCTTTTGTTGTTGAATGATAAAGCCTTTAGCTGATCCAAGCTGTGCATTGGTATGTTTCCTGCAGGTTTGCCAAACTGCAGAGGACTACCGGGGTTATGACGGGGAGCTGGGTCTGTGTATTTGTATAGAGACTCCTGGCCGAGCTGCATGTGGAGGCCTGTGCAGGAGCGGGCCGGCTACTGGGCTGAAGCTCCAGTGCCAATCTAGTGGAGAAATGGAGCTGGTGTGGAACTATGGCAGTCAGGTGAACAGAGTCAGCTACAGATTTACACATTTTCATGCACCAAAGGAAATAGTACTGAACAACAGCATGCTACCTACTAATATGGGCCCAAAAAACTGAAAGCACACTGCATCCAAGAGCTGTTTTGATACCATATCCATGTAGTATTCCCAACAGAACAAACATAATCATGAATAGTTTGAGCTACAATGCCCGATCAAACAATGCATGCGTCCTTACAATGTCGTGTTCTTTTCCCCAGCAGTGAAAGCTTTAGACAAGTGTCTCTTGTGTTGCGGTGACCTATTAACGGCAAATGCTCTTATTGTGTTTGCAGGTGTCGAGCGTCTCAGAAAGCGTGCTGACGCTGCTTTTTAAACAGTGGGACTCTCAGGGGAATCTGCAGTGCAACAGCATCCTCAACTCCTCACGTCCTGTCTACATTGTTCAGACAACAGGTGGAGACACACGTTTACATGTTCACAAACACACAATTTGGCATTTATGTCCTGCATTTGATTTCCTCCTCACTCCCCGTCTCTCTCATGTCTTCCTTTCGCCCCATCTGTCTCTCTGTTCTCTGATTGCAGAGGCAGGCTTCCTCGGCCTCCTCAGCGGCCTGCCAAAGGAACTTCAGCAACTGTTTCCTGACACTGCACAGTGGGAGTCTCAGACCTCAGCTGGTTAGTCTTAACAAAATGTTATTTTCTCATCATGACAAAGAAAATGAGTGCATGATCAAATTTACCTTGAAACTCTGGAGTAAATGCTGCACTAATGAAGCTCTGGTACTGTTGACTTTCAGAGGAAGATTATGAGTCTTTGCAGAATGAAAATATAAGTCAAGCAGGTAGAGAAATGGATACAAGAAAGAGGAGAGGAGATAAGGATCCCATGAAGGAAGAAGGGAGAGAGTCAAGTATAACTGGAGTTCTGAACCCAACAACATGTCTCCATCTGGATGATGTTATACTGTTTACTGTCGACACACGTCACTACCCTCAGTACGATGTGTAAGTCAGATGCTAGTCGTACATCATTTTCAAGTCCATTTTTTCCCCCAGCTTTTAACATGTGTTTTGACTTGTTTTGCACCTGCCGTTAATCCATTCTTAATATTTTTCAGTGACAACTTATACAACACAAACAGGAACTTTGACTGGGGTTCGTTCAGAGATTTAAAAGAGGAGTTGATGCTGTCTTGGACTCCTCCCAGCTTTTTTTCATTTGCCTTTAGCCAGCCTGGAGTTTATGTTTTTGCTCTGAGCAGCCATCAGCACAAACATTTGGTAAATGCTACAGATTTAAAACAATTTAAGCATTGAAGCTGTATTTTAAACAACTGTACATCTAGTATTCTTCACTAAATGTCACTAAATACACTGAACACCATTCTAACCTCTTTCAACAATTGCAAATTCACTTTTTTCTTCACCTCTACATTGCTTCTGGCAGACAGGATCATTTTTTTTTTGTTTGTTTTGTTTTGTTTTTTCAGCGAGAGACTGAGACAAATATGCAAATTAAATCTGTATCGAACATTTGGTGGTGGATCACTTGATCAAATAGTGGAGCAACCTGCGAATTAAAATTTTGCTGTACAGCACTAATAGTGTCCAAACACTTCACAAGACCTTTTTATGTCTCTTTAAATTTGCACACCTTGGTTTGCTCTTTCAGAATGCAAGACATAAACATGACAATGTAATAATCTGATTATTGCTGTACTGTTTTGTGCTGTACTCCATCTATCAATGATCATATGCTGAATTGTTTTACATGATTCAAGCAAAATGCAACAAATTCTTTTTTCTCATTTAATATATATGTATATTCAAGTTAATTCTTACATATATGTGAATTTACACGTAGAGAAAATGCTGTCAAATTATACCTCACTGACTGCTCTCTAGTTTTGCTGTGATCCTGTAAGCAACTATTTTTTTTCTTTCTCAGTACGTGCGAGTGATGCCTGCAGGTGGCCAGTGCTACGAGCCTGGCCCCTTCTTTCCTACAATTCCTCGTCACGTGACCAGAATGGGAATCAGTAGGAGACGTAACCTGTCACTCCGACCTGATTGGCTGGTGACCGGAGGACTGCTTTTTGGAGCTGTGGTCATCCTCTGTTCATGCGTTGCACTCCTGGTTAGTGTACAATCAGAGGCACATGCTGCAACGAGATAATAAATACAAGTGGTTCAAAGTGCCATTTACATTAATAAATCTATCCAATGTGTAGATCCTGTTCCGTGAGTATGGATGGCCTGAGAAAGAGCCAATCAAAGCACGGTATCGCTTGTTGCAGTTATCCTACCAAATGGATGACTACTCATCAAAAGGTTCAAGGAGGATCTCACTCAGAAAGACTCACCGAAACCAACAAACCAGGATGACACAAGACTCCATTCAACCAGGTGGAATATTGTCGTGGTAACCACACACGCTGCACACAAACACATGAACCACTCTGCGCTATCACTGAAAGCCTAAAGGCCAACACATTGCATAACTTAGATTCAAACATGATCTGCACCATGTCAACTAAGGCACCTGCACTGTGCACACATAACACATATCAACACACTGACATTCTGAAGACCCTTGTGGCTTCTTACATAACACTGACAGTGACCTCAGGGTGGTGCTCCCACCCAGCCAATTACTGCTGAAAAGGATCGGGTCATATACCTGTTATCACGTGCACTGGCTAACAGTAAAAATGAAAACCGTCTAGATGTCACAGGACTTGGGAAATCACATAGCAGGACAAAACCTTGAGACTGTGCAATGTCCTGTCAGCAATTAAAAAAGGCTTTGTGCAAAAAAAGGAGATCCATGTATAAACAGGTGATTATTACACGCTTGCAAAATGTGAAATCATTTTTTAGAGGGTGTTACATGCATACATAAACAAAAGCAAACACCAAGAACAAACTCTCTCTTTCTGTCTTATTGTGTTTTTCTCTCTCGACTGCAGTCTGTGCAGACACCTTGGAGGAATTCTGGGATTATGAGCACCAGGTGGATCTAGAGGCTTTCAGCAGCAACACCTTCTACAGCCTCTTGCTCAAACAGAGCTTGTCTGTCACCACACGGCTGGGACAGCTCACCACTGAGGTCTGCAGCGTTCAGTTAAATGCAAATTAAACATACAGCATGTGAATAGATTGACGCAAACCTTCTTGCCTCCTGCACACACACTGTGATGCCTTCAGGGAAACCTTTAGAAAAAAACGAGCATTCTCGTTTGGACTCTTCCAGTTAAAATGCTGTATATTATGTGTGCCCACATTGTTGTTTTATGAATAGTTTATGAATAATTTAATGCAGTAGGAGGCTTCAGGCAACAATTTCTATTATACAACTTTAGAATGCATTGTCCCAGTGACAAGGAGACACCCCTCCCACATCACATAGTTAAAATTCAAAACTGTCATTTACATTTTCACATCAAATAAAAATTAAGTTTAAGCAAATAAAGTAAAAAGTATGACATTTTGGGAAATATTCACTGTCTTGATAAGAAGATTGCAACCCCTCTAATGTTTATACCCTAATTATGAAACCACCAAAAGAAGCTGTTACTTAAAATAAAAAGTTCAGAGTTCAAACTAGAAACAGGGGAAACAGCCTACTTAGGATTTCTAAAACTCACTCATCAAGAACCTAAACTGTGAAAAAACTTAAGTGCACAGTGAAAATAATGAGTTGATTTATGTGAACAAGATGGGACAGAGCAGCGACCTCACAGCAAACAATCCGGAATGAAAACAAAACTAAAGCTAATCTAAAAATTGACAGAAAAAAAATTCCTATGTATAGTTTGCTGTTCTCAGTTGCGCTATGTTCATCTTGAATTCTTTAGATTGTTTTTGTGTCAGCCCAGCCAGAGGCAACAGGCTAAATGCATTGTTTAATCTTAGATTCTAAGCTTGCATACTGCTGCTTCATTACTGCTTTACATATCCTATTTTCCTAAAAGCGTTGGTGCAGTCCTGTCAGTTACTTCTCAACCTTCCCTCCTGTTATCTTTCACAAGCTTCTGAAAGCTCTTCATATGTTTCACTGATAAAATTGACATCTTTTGAAACAGATTGAGTGTCGCACTGGAATGCCTCTGTTTTATTGTGTGTGTGTTCCTACCTTCTCTGTACTACACTCTTCCTGTTTGTACCATGATATTGCTGGCTGCAGATTGTTGTTACACCCCTCAGGACAGCTGAGGTGATAAAGACTGTGAGGGGAGATGGCTCCCTGTGTCATCCCACAAACATGCACCAGTGTGGATTAAATGTATACCAGCTACGGAGTTAGATGTGCAATCTGATTATTTTTGTGTGTATTACTAATTTGGTTTTCAATGTGTGTGTGTCTGTGTGTGTCCAGGTAAAGGAGCTTTACCAGGGAGTGCTTGGAAAACTGCAGTTACTCCACCCACGCCTGATCTCTGAGGAGAGGATGGGGGAGGGTTATGAGAGGCTGAGGAGGGAGATGGAGAGAGAGGTGGTGCGACGAAAGTCTTTGGCCTTGCAGATGAGGACTCTGCTTGACAGTCAGCTGCAGGTTTATATTGCATTAAAGTGCATGCCACATTTTATCCAGTAACTTCCTGCTAAAGTCAATGAAAAGGGATACAGAGGAAAACAGAATATGTATTTTTGTGTTCTAGACAGAAATAAGTATCTTGCCATTTCAGTCAGCAACAGCAACAAAATACTCTAACTTCTAGAGGTCAAATAAGTCAAATTATTAGTCTAGCAAATAAATCAGCAGCTAGTGGCTTCCTTCAGGTTCTGAGGGGGGAGCAGCAGGCCCAGCAGAGGGTCCACGGTGTGTTCACATCTCAGCTCAGAGAGTGCACCAGACTACTGTCCAAGCTTCACAACAGCAACCACATCTCTAGTGAACTGCAACACCAAACGTAAAGCCTCCATTTGTCAAGTTCAATGTCATGTAGTAATGCAGAAAAAAAGTGAACAAGCAGCAAATGAAACAGAATCAATCTGTTCTCTCTCGCGTCCAGTTTGATCCAGAGACTAACGTGTCTTGTGGATGAGATGGGAGAGCTGGTGTCAGCAGAGTGTCAGCGTCAGGGGGCCTGGGGGCTGTTGGGTGAGGGTGTGGGGGCAAAGCTGCTCTGCCCCGACACCGGAGCTGTTCTGACCAAAGACGACATTTTAGGTGAGTTGAACACTACTGCATGAGATCACATATGAAGCTATGATTCAGAATCATACAGAAACACCACCATCTACTGCTACAGATGTGCACTGCAACACTAAGATAGCCCAAGTAAAGAGAAATAAACACTGAAGGTGTGTTGAAATACAAGCATTTCAATTGTTAAAACATTAAATGTTAAGCTGAATTAGATGTATGTCTTTTGCTTTCTAAGAAATATCTATACTGTATGTGTACACAAAGTTCAATATTTTTAAATGTTGCTGTGTTCGGAAAAGGTTGTCGTACTGATTCAAGAGGTTTATTGTCATAGGCACAGAAAACCAGACAGTTATACAATACAGTGAAATTATTACTTTGCTGATCCTCCTTAACCAAACAGACACAACAACAACAACAACAACAAACTACAGCAACTGTAGTTAAATAAGCATACCTAAATTGGCAGAATGTGGCAGTGCATTATTTTAAACCTTGGTTTGAATAAAGGGATCATGGCAGTGATAGGGGATTACAGCATTGATTATAGAGTGCATATTGCATCTTAGTAAACTGTTATAGAGTTGTAAACATAAGGTAACAGCTGTAGTCATTGTATAAATGGATGGAGAACCATGTGTGTGTATCAAGTTCAGTGGGACAGTGTTGAGTGATGAGTGCTGTTGCTAAATGATGCTGAAATATTCTTCTGTTGTTTCTGTACCTCAAAATAATGTAACTGAGCTTAAATCTCCAGTTCTTACTAAATTTTCAGTTGAGTAATTGCTCACAGTTCTCTCCCCTTCTGCTTCACTCCAGGTCCTGATGGGTCCCTGCGAGTCTCTCGAGCAGTTCACTGTGATTCAGTCACAGGCCTCATAAGGCCAAATACTCATACCCACATGTTGCTGAGCAGCGGCCACACCATGGCCGTGCCGCCTGATTTCTTCCTTCACCCGCAGACTGGCAGAGTCATGCCCATCGCTGGAAACGTGGCCTATGATCCTGTCAGCTCTACGCTGGTGTTCACCACTGACCTTTGCACAGGTAGCATGGTGGGGTGTTTGTGTGCTGGCTGAGGATGGGTGTGCTAAATAAAATAGCTAATGAAAGGTACAGACTTGAAAAAAAGTCTTTAACACTGTTAAAAAGTTGATACTGATTATATATTTTGCATGTGCACTTATTTGTGTCGATAATCAGCCAAATACACTGAACATAATAATAATTGGGATTATGTAAAATGTACATCAAAACCCAATAAATGCTGAAATGTGTACTTATCCTATACTATTTCCTTGTCATGCTGAATCGTGCATGCCTGGATTGATTCTTGTATTACTACTTTAACATCTCAGGACTTGACTTTTGGCTGATGAAGGGTTTAACGTCTGATCTAATGTCACTTACTAGCATAACTATTCTAACCATAGTTCAGTAGGACTGCAGCTGTATACTAGCATTGTAACTTAACATTAAGCTGCAACGTGGTTTGGTGGTCAGCACTGTTAGTTTAGGGTTTGCTTTAATTCTCCATATGATGGATGTAAACTGTAACATAATATTACATAAATATTACACAAACACGCCCCAGTTAATGTGTGCTACAATGTTAAACTAGCATGGTTAAAAAACAGCATTGTGTCATGTGTAGAATGAAAGTGTCAAGGGGAAAGTGTTGAGGAAAATGAGACTTCTCGCCCACTTGTCACAGACGCTCGATGTCAAAAGCAATTTCTCCTGCATTATGACCTGAGTTGAATACAATAATAAATCCTTATATAATGCTTGCTGACACGTGATAGATTTTTACACTTTGGGTGAGAAGGAATCTAAGTACAACAGGAAATGAATTGCATTATACTAATATCACCAAAAGGCTACATCATTTGTGCTAAATTTGTCATAACTTGATCAAATTGTGCTGCATCGTTTTTATTTCTACAAATGGATGATCTAATAAGAAGTAATCATGTTACTTAAATTGAGATGAATACAATAATTTCATGCTCATTTTCTGTGGGTCACTGGAAGGCAAGTGAAAGGATGACATATCAGAGTTGAAGACCACAAAGAAGGCAAGGCACTATAACAAAAGTCAACTGCAAACCTGTCACACATTAAAAGTTCATGCATTAAAGATCACTTAGATTGAAGACCTAAGACCGTGCTCGAGTAATATAGCTCATAAAATGTGATTACATCTCTCAGATTGATGACATAAGATTTGCAAGGGCAGATTGCTCCATTAAAAAGACATTATGTGCTATTTGTTAATACAGGTGACAACAGGAAGTGGGACAGCCCCCTCCTTCCTTTCATTCCTTACCCAACGTCCTGCCACTCAGACCAGCCTCTGCCCAGCGCTCGGCTCCGAGGCCTCCGACCGGGCCAGAGGCTGCAGCTGGGCATTCCCATGGCAGACCCAGACACGGGGGTCCCAGTACCCATTCTGGCAGTAACCATCCACCCCCAGACTGGACTAGTGTACCCACTGGGAAGGGTGCATGTCTGCCCCCTCACCCGCTTGCCACAGCCCATACAGATTGGTTATCCCATGCTGGACTCCAGGACGGGCAACATTGTGCTCACTGTTGGGGTCAGTTTAGATCCAGTAACAGGTCAGTGCTGTTCTGTGAGAGCCCAGTACAACCTGTGTCAGGATAACGACACATTCAGTGAGTTAGACTTGTTCTGTGTGTCTGTGCAGGAGATGTGCTGCCAGGAGGTGGAGTTCTGCTGGCTGAGTCCTTCATTGAGCCTCTGAGTGGGCGGATGGTGAGAATAGGAGGGGCCAGCATCCGGGCAGGACAGTTGGTGCCTAATGCAGGAGGATACCAAACTTTACTGGACAGCAAGGTGCTGGATTCGATTACTAATGGCAGTGTTTAGAAAACAAATTAGATATATCAAAAGGTAATGTTGCACTTAATTCACTTTCTCTCACCACAAGGTCCATTTAGGGCTTTTGACTGTATCAAATAATCTTTATCACTATGTGGAGCATTTGTAGTCAATGTTTTAGTAAAAATTGAGGATAAAAGTTCATTCGTGACCATGGAATCTGCCATTGATAATCTCACCACAAGGGGGAGTTGTTTCTAAAGATATGACACATATACAGCAAATGAAATCTGACAATACAACTTTCATGTTATTAGATAGTTAATAACAGATGTATTCAGCCAGTGTTTGATCAAATAAATTACTTGAGTGATACTAGCAATTTTCTCTATCAGGTTCTGGCAGCAATGTTCAAAGTTTTGGATCTCCTGAAGCCGCTAACCGAGGATTGGGGTTCAGATCCAAATTTGCAACATCTGCAGCATCATCCAGGCAGTGAGAGAGGGAGTGGCCGACAAGATCACCTTCTTGCTGCGGCCAAAGAGCTCCAGCAGGCCTGGGGAAGGAGCCTGCACTGCCATCTGCAGCTGCAGACCAGGCTGGAAATACTGCTCGACTGGGCAGTGGGTCTCCAGCAGGACGGAGGGACGTTGGGTGAGGAAATGCCTGTGAGAGGATGAATGGATTTGAGTCGTCTCTCTGGGGCACTACATCAAAAACTCGGACTTTTCTCATTTCTGCAGCGCTGCCGCTCTCTCTGCTGATTTATCCTCGCCTTCTCCCTCTTGCTTTGGTGCTGTAAATGAACTGCTCTCCTTTTTTTTCTGTACTTTGCAGCTATCTGTCTTCCACATTTACAGAGAAAATGTTATCCTAAATGGAGAAAGCACTTGTTATTCCACTTTCTCCTTTTACGTTTTCATTTTAATCTCGGTCTGTCATCACTTCACCATAAATCTGCTCAAAAGAATATGAGCAAAAAAAATAGGAATTGTAGACCTGTGACTTGGAGTAGAGAAATACATTCACACATAATAAAATTATCATAATAAAACTGTTTTTGAAGGCCTGTCAAAGAGACTTTCGGAAGATTTAAGGGGAAAAGCAGAAATATATATAATTTAGGGACCAAGATGTGAACATTAATAGTCAGGGAAGCTGAACTTTATACACAAATACATTTAGTCACAATACAACAACTGTGACACAAACAAATACAAACACATAGACTGGAAAACAACACAAACAAACAATTTAGGGACGGTTACAAAGTAATTCAATTTATTTACCAAAAGAAAGCACATTTTTTCAGTAATATATGCACTGAAAGATAAAATAGATGGGAGGACTGTTCTCTGAAAGCAATTGATCATTTAGGTGGCAATTTTCCAAGGAGACAGAATTTAGAAAGTACAATTTTGCATGTTTGTTACCAAGAAAGGAATCTGAAAAGTGTCTTTTTGTCATCTGGCGAAGGACATTCGTTCATTCTTTAGAATGATTCAGATTTTTGACTTATTTTATGGCAATGTGTAGAACTATCAAACCGTACAGAATTGTATTATTTCACATTCAGATTTGGACTCCTGGGAGACACATGATAAAAATAATAATAATAAGCGACAGACTAACTTTTAATCAACTTCTCATCAACTAGATAAACATATACATTATTTGACTAAATTAAGGAGTATATCCTGTAAATAGTCAAAATAAAGGTTATTTTAGATCAGGGCCTCAGACGAGTCAGACGAGTCGATAAAAGACAAGTTCAGTAAAATGGATGATTGTCTCCTTAATTATTTAGTGCAGCTGCTCATTGTTGTAAGTTTTGGGTTTGTAGGTGAGTGTGAGGGTCTCAACATACCCAGCTCCAGGTTACGGGTCCATAAAGGCATTTTGTCTGGTTGAAAGTTATCCAGAGTGTACAGCTTACTCTGTGACACTATATGAAGAGTTCACTTGCAAAAACAGATAACTCCATCTTCACAAACCTTCAGAAAACCCACTTTTCTATCGTCTACCTGAGACAATATCAATCAAACTTAAGTTATCTCTATTTTTGTCATGTCATTTCTACTGAGTCAAATCCACTCAACTTCAGTTTGATGGATATTATCTCAAGCAAACAACAAAAAAATTAATTGTCTGAAAATCTTCAAAAATGAAGTTATCTGTTTTTGTAAATGAACTCTTCATATGTTTTGGTGTTGCTTTGGTAGTGTGAGCTCCAGTGAGCAGTGAGCAGAGCAGTGAGGCCATTTGGTCAGTCTTTTCCGTTCCAGAGGGCTCTGAGAACACATCTGGTGTCTCGGCCTGATAAAAGGCAAAATAAGGATCTAAACTGTTGCCATGCGGAAGTTTGTAGATCAAAGCAGCCGGCTTAAGTTTCGCAACTATGGAGACCAAAAAGCGGGACGGAGAAACTGCTGGTATTTACTTATTTTTTCAATTTTTATTTTATATTTTTGTATAGTATTGCATAAAGGAAAATGCACAATCTTTGACATTTTTTTAAATTTATCTCTTCACAAATTTGCTGTATTCTGCTGCTACTGAGAACAAATGAGATTTGGGCATGAAGTAAGTTGTGTTTTTAACCTTTTAAAATCAGTTTTGGAAAGGAGTCATCAGCCTCAGGAAAATGTCATTTTTTACCTCAAAGGTTTTTTACGTGACCTTTATTTGTCACAAGTAACCCTCCTCCACAAAAATTAAGAATGCGACCCATATACTGACATTATATAAGTACATGTGCTAACTTATAGGTTACCCTTTTTTAAGTTCCATGAAATAGAGAAGATCCAAAACATTTTCAGAAAAATACGGAAGAAACTGGTTCAAAAGAGAAAGAATTCCTCTTTAAAAATAGACAAACATGCAGTAAAGTCTATGTGTACACAATCAAGCAACGTAGTGATTTTACAGCATGAACCATTAGGGTGACAAAATAAAAGACATGACTTGTAAAACAACTTCCATGTGCTGCCAAACAGATTGGATCTGAGCCACACACTCCTCTGCACAATGGAGGCCTGAAACTAATGTGCATACAACACACAGGAGGCAGATACACTATAGAAAGGAAAATCACATAGAAAGAGAGAGGGACAAGGACAACTACGCACAGATGGTAGAAAGAGAGGCGGGAGGAGAAGCTGAGACTCCAGAGGGATTAAAATCCAGACCTAAAACATCTGGAATGAAAAATCAACAGCCAGGTGGGAGAAAGACAGTTCTAAGGATGTCCAGCGGTTCAGCACAATCACGAATTAAAGGAGAAAGAGAAGTAAAAGAAACAGCGAGAGAGAAGTCACACAGCTCAGAGACAACAAACAAAGGGGTTAGAATGGTTCTTAGAACGTGTGCAGTGATCTTGTCGGGGAAATAACATGAACTAAACTGTGAATACTCCTTATGGATACACTGGGAGTGAGAACAACTTGCCTTGAGGATAATGGTAACAAGTCTGAATAATTAAAGAATAAGCAATTTACTGAAAGTTGAGGTGAAAGTCAGACTGTCGGATGTCAGCAAGGGGAGGTAATTTGAAGGAAAGTGGTACAGGATATGGGATATAGCGATAGGAAAGAGTCCTGCAGTCTGCTGAGTTGATTTTAACTCCAGGGACAGACAGGAGCCTTGGGTTGTGAGAGTGGCGAGCACAACATGGATTATATGGTTTAAGGAGATCAGACAGACATGACGAGACAAGCCCATTTAGGATTTTACAAGTCATCTGGCATGGACAGGGCACAACTCTGGCTTGTGGTGGAGAATTTTTTCTGATTACTGTATTCACTGAATCATTCAGAATCATTCTACACATTTGGGAAGAAGAAAATGAGCAGAGTCAGTGATGTTCAGTCCAGTTGTGGGTTTATTGTGTACACTACACAAACAAACTGAGCTAGTGTCGAGAGCAACTACAATTAAAATTCTCTATTCTGCCCAATGTGCACAACAGGTCTCCTCAAAGCATGATTATTACTTGCTTCTCACCTTTGTCATGAGCTGCATCACCACATCATGTGTGATCAGTCCTGTCGGCTTGTTTTTTTTCACATTTAAACCTGATTCAATCTTTGCTTTTTGAGATTTGAAAATTGCAGCTGTCACAATGTCGCCTAAGAAGTGTAATGAGGAAGAGGAAACACAAGCCTCTTTTGACACTTATTTATTCTTACTGACAATCTGATTCATGAGTCACTCGATGGAGTGGGAACTTTTCTCAAATGCATACATCATCAGTAGATTTTGTCAGTGCTAAATTCACTCTTCTAAATAATTACCAGAATTGCTTTTTAGCCTATATGAATAAATATTTCAACATCCATATGAAACAGTTAAAATTTCCTGCTTGGAGATACACTTGATTAAATGTTAACCACAGTCTCCTGCTGGATGTCACAAAGTTCTCCTTGAGTGCCTCCTGCTGCTGAGAACAAAAGTTTTAGGGCATAAAGTTAGCTTCATTTTTTTTAGGTCTGAAAATGGTTTTGGAAAGGAGCCTACAAAGGATGACATTTAAAAAAAAAACTTTTTTTTTTCTTCTCAGAGTCTTTTCAGATGACCTTTATTTGTCGCAAACTACCACCCTCCACAAAAACACTAAGCTTGTGACCTGTCTGACTTGGAGAATACAAAGTGTTATGTATTTAGTATTCCCAGCATAGATGCCACCAAATCGTCATTTATTATTATATTGTAAACTTCGTGATTTTATCATTTTTTGTAGTTTTATTTAAATTTCTAGCCACAGTAACCATTTGACATTATTATGTGTTGGCACATAGTAAGCCTGAAAACAAAATGTTCAATGATCGGCTCTAATTTAATGTAACTCTAACCCTAAGTTTGACTGCAGTGTCAAAATAAATGTGGGGTTGTGTTTATTGTTTCACATTATCTGTTGCAAGAGAAGTATGTCGCTCTAGAGGCTGTGAGACCAAGCTTGTACTTCACTACAAGCTTGTAAACATCCGGTTTTGATTTATAGTTTGTGTCCCAATCCCCTGTAGGGATGCTGTAAAACATTTGTTTCTTTAGTAAACAAAGGCATAAAGCTCTTTGTCTGTCTTGTTTTGGTAGTACAAAAGCCAGGCAACTCAGCAGGGTTGAAAGTAGAAATGGACAGACGGATTAGAAACCAGAATCAAATTAACAGGGTTACTACTGGACATTAATAGATTCCTGCACCAATGGAGTAAAACCAGAAGTATGAAGAAATACCAGAGTGGCTTTTCTTAGAGAATTACAAACCACAAATTCTCAATTCCCCCTCTGGGGTTCCATATTCAACATCAGGCTTCCTATTTAATGTCTAATTAGAATTATATTCCGCAAATGTGACTGTTAATTATTCTGTAGGGATCAAAGAGCTTGTGTTGACTCAATATTCTCTGTTTTTTGGCTGTTTAAACTCCCGACTCATCATTAATCAAATTATGTCAGTCCTAAATATTGTTGCTGTGCTCGATGGCCGGTACCAGCCTCCTTATCATGATGACAGGCTTGTAATGTTTTGTACATTTGGTCCACCTTGTGACACTATTGCATCTAATTTCAGCTGTTGTGGTTGTGTGGTCATGTGCACAAAGCTTGATAATGTAGGTTTGCTTCTTGCAGTTTTTGCTATTGTGGTGTCTGACACACTACCCCCAATACTCTGGAAAGTGTTGATAAACTGGATCGGTCAAAGGTCAAAACAGGGGGTCATCTGAGAGCCTAAAAGTTAGGGGGTTACCCATATGGTTCGAATTATTGGTTTCTCTGTGACAAAAACAACTCCCCTATATAAGCCAGTGTCCTTGTCTATTCTGGAGGGTAAACAACACTATGTTCAACCAGATGTGCAGTGCAGTCACAGGCCTTTTTTTTTTGCTAAACATTTTTTAAAATCTTTATTACTTTGGTTGGAGGTCATTTATTTTAAGCCAAAGGAAAAAGACAATAAATAATGCAGCTCATTCTGGCAATACAATAAAGTAGTGTCCTTTTCAACACTGGTTAGAACCTAATTCTATTTCTCTCTAACTTCCTCAGAACTTGCAAACTTACAAAAATACTTTCATCTTTGCATGTATTTATAATATTTAGTTTAACTCTCTGATGTGCTGTTTAAACCAGGAGAGATGCCTCTGTCAGGGTCAGATATGTGTGTGCCAGCTCTGCTTGGGATGGAGTACCCCGACCCCATGGGGTCTGGTCTTAGTGTACCTGTGCTGGGGTGTCACACTGACCTCGTCTCTGGGAATACAATACCACTGGCAGGAACCATGGAGGACCCAGATGGAAAAGGTACTGTGAAAAACAAGACATTGCACATGTTTGCCTAATGTTTTTTATCCAATTAGTATAGTTGTTCATCGATGGGCGCATGTGTGCGTGTTTTTTTTGTCTGTTAACAGTCTAGTGCTTTACAGGAGAGGAGATTGACCCTGAAACTTCATATTTGACCTCAGTATGGTCCCTTCTCAGAGTGATTAGATCTTGGGGTCAATACATGCATTGGTGACCGCTACAGAGGTCAAAGACATTCGAAGCCTATAAACTGGTGATGTAACATATGAACTTGGGGCAAAGGTCAAGGTCACACTGAAGGTCTTAAATCATCACAAATTTGAAATACATTATAACTTGAAAAAGGTGTAAGATAAACAACCTGAACAGACCTGAAGAGGTTGGCCATGTTCAACATGATGGCAGCGCCCCCTTCAGGAAACAGCAAGAGTGAACACTTAGTGTCTTGCCTATCCCAGACGTGCATTCAGCAAAACTTACTAATTAAATGATCCTGAAGAAACGCTCTCTCATCTTGCTTGTACTACTGTGTAGTTACAAGAAAATTACAATAAACTTGATTTAATTTGATTTGATGTGATAGGAACCCATATTGGTGATGTGACATTTGACTTTGGATGAAAGGTCAAGGTCATAAATCTTAGTGCTTAGCTGTAGGCGTAAATTACAGCATAACGCTTCCCCTCCATGCAAAGTATCTGTGTTACATGATAGACTAAGCTCTTGTTACATTATGTATCATTTTAAGGAAAATCAAGGCAAGTTCATTCGTAGGTGTTCAGTGAAACACAGAATCAGGTAAACATGCATAAGATAAGATAAGCTTTATTTGTCACATATGCATTCATACACGGTACAATGTGCAGTGAAATGTATTTTGTACCAGCCTCCAGTTTCAAGGAAGAAAAAAATAAAAATAAAAATAAAATAAAATAAAAATAAGTGTCAAAGAAGTATGTATACTTTATGTAGATATACACATGTATACACACAGATAAATAATCAAACAAATACAGCCAGTGGAACACTGTTGTGATATATAAGGTGCATATGTAAAAGGTGCCCTTGTATATTGCACAGTCCAGTTTTAAAGCTCAGAGTTGAGCAAACGGATGGCCTGAGGGAAGAAACTCTTCCTCATTCTCTCAGTGGCAGTCTTTAGGCAACGGTAGCGTCGGCCTGACGGCAGCAGGGAGACGAGAGAGTTTCCGGGATGGCTATGTTGCTTCAGGATCTTCATACACTGAGCTACTATGTCCCTCTACTGATGACTGTCTAGTTTGGTTTAAAATTCTATTAAACAATACAGCATAATACTGGTTGTGCCCTTTTCTGTTCCATCTGTACGCTGTTTCAATTCCCAGGCCTGGTGGCGATCCGTTATGGATCTCAGACTGTCGACCCAGTGACGGGGCTGTTGGCGCCGGTGGTCGGAGCGAGGCTGGATGTGTCTAGAAAGATCGTTGTGCCTGTTACAGCCTCCTACTGGCTAATGGTGGCAGATCAAACTGATAGCGTGCAGGTGGGAGAGTAATTAAGGGAAATGTTTCCATGAAAGCCCTCACACAAGAAATTCTTTTTATGTCCGCAGAGAATAACTGTAGTTAATCTCAAACCCCCTTTTTTCTTTTTTGCTTGTTTGTTCTACAGCCTAATTAACTCAGCAATTTTGATGCGTTTGAACTCTAGCTTTCTTCTTTGCTGCTTATTGAATTCAGATGGAAATGGATAAATCTGATGTCTTTCCCTTAACTCTACTGCTATTGTATTGCAGGTAGAGGCGCTGCAGAGAGAGGTGTGTGTGCGAAACACTTACTGGCAGCAGCAGAGGCAGCGGGAGGAAGATATTCTCACTGATCTTGACTCAGCTCTATTCCAGTGTCTTTTCAGAATCACAGAAACAAACTCTTACCAGGTCAGCAGGTGGAGGAAGGGTGCTTCTGTTTTTGGTTGTAAATATCTTTTATAGTCTGGACTCTGAGTATAGTGGGAGAAATTCAAAAGGGTTGAACCTTTTGAACATGTGGAAATAATTAAAGGGATGTATGAGTGTGGGGGCAAACAGCATTGGAAAATCATTTGAGTGAAGCTTTTCATATCCTGCCATGCACTGCAAGTAAACAAGCTTGGGTTTTTGTGCACGACTAAGAGTGAAAAGTGCCAAATCATCACATCCCTGTGTGTGAGTGTGAATATGTGTGTTACCATCCTTCTTGCTTTAGTATTCGTGCATGCATGGGGCTTTTGAGTCCCAGTATGCAAATATGTGTTTCCTTTTTTTTTTAATGTTCAAAGCGTGTGCACTCTGATACAGGTCCAGTGGTCTGGGAGGCAGCTGAAGGAAGCAGCCGTGGAGCTGCAGGATTCAGCACAGACAGAAGCCCAGAGGAGAGCGGCTCAGCACGCCCACTTGGCTCTGATTCTGCCTCCACATGTATTACACATCCTCACGTTGGGTAAATTAGCTGGCAGGCCGGCAGAATGAAGGAAAGCATGAAGGAAATTACAGTCATGACCAGTTCTGCACTTTTATTCATCGCTTTCCAAAGGAGTCTCATATCACACTGTTCAGATGTAGTGTAGTGCCAATATCAATATTTTTATCTGGGTTTGGCAGCGTGTCCCATTGTGCATCTCTATCTGTGGGTGTAGGTGACGAGGAGGAATGGGATCAGCAGTGTGTTTGGCACTCAGAACTCACGTCTGGCCTTGATAAGGTGGACGTGTGTGTGGATCAGCTGCAACAAGACCAAGACAAATGGACGACACAGGCAGGAGACTGGTCAACAAACCTGCATGCCATGGTCAGAACAGCAGCTCTATAGTCCATTACTGGCACTGCAATATAGTTGGAAACTTGACGATCAGATGTTCACTTCAATTTCAGGCTGCCAATGAAAAATGTTTTGCTATAGGGAGCTTTTGGGAAGTCTAGTAATTGAACTTTAATGCCAGTTCTTCACTGTGAGATGCATTCTGTAGCAGTGCTGTCTAAATGTAAATAACAAGCCCGTGGTTATTCGTCTTTCAGGACAGAGAGCTGAGACAGAGGGAGTTGTGGGAGCAGTGTTGTTCCAGACAGACAGAGTTGGAGGCTGCTCTTAATGCGCTGCACTTTGTCAGACACCTCTCTCAGCTCCGTGCCGACACTACTCAGGTGAAAAACACAGACGGACACAATGAATAAATAACACTGAAAATAAATAAACCTAAATATATTATACATGTGTTGCAGGAAATGGATGGCTCTTTAGTTTCGCCTTTTCATTATTTATGTTGTTGCCAAGTTGTGTTTGTTTAAACTTATGATGAACAGTTAAATTAAGCATATAAGTCGCACAAGATGTACCCTTCTCTGCTTATTTTTCTAGGCTCTACTGTGTGGGAACTTTTGGTTCAAGGAATACGGTCTGATTCCGTGCAGTGGAAACAGACCAAATGTGAAGGTCGTGGGTTTGCTCCAACAAAAAGCTTTGCCTCTGCTTGAGAGGCTAAACCAGCTCCTGGAAGAGAAACAACCAGCCAGCTTCTCCCCCAACAACTGCAATCAGCACATCTCTGGTACAGAAGCACCACCGGATAGGAATAGTACATTTACCACGTGATACACAGTTCATATTGTTCAGGGAAAAGCACAGCTCCTCATTGAATAATAGTATTATCTTGGAGCTGAATTGATTTTCTGCTTCCTGTCTGTGCCACTGGATGCTGATACAATCTCTAAAATTGCTTTAGTGCTGCCAGCATTTCTTGGTACCTAGGTTGCAAACTCTTAGATCCACGGCCTTTATATTTTCCCACATGCTCTGGTATTGTGGTTAAAGGATAAAGTTTGTGTTATTTATACATATTTGCACTTACTGCCAACAAATCCCATGAAAGAACCAAAACTAGCCACAAGGTTTCTTGGAAAGTTGCAAAGCTGCAGTATGCAGTTGGATTTGTAAGAAGTGTAGCTCTGTTTAAAAAAAAAGGGACACTGTAGCAAGCATTGCTTCAAATACAATCAAAGAGTATATTTTTTTGTCGACTATTTTCATCAGTGTACAAAATCGGATGCTTTAAGTGTGTACAACAGCAGACCTGTATTGGACTGGTGTACAACACAGCCCATTTATGCTTTTTTTAAAAATTTTTTTTTAACAGTTTCTAAAAGAACAGTGGAACCATTTGACACAGAATAATGAGCTATAGGAAAGTACATGTTAACAAGATTAATTAACTATTAGTTTTGGTCCTTGTTATGAGATTTGTTGCCAATAACTTAAAAAGAAGGGAAATGTGTCATAATCATCCTTCAAGTTTGATTTCTTACACGCTTTAGGTTTGTCAACAAAGCAGGCTTATGGTTTGGAAATAGCCTCTCGAGTCTGGACGGCGTCTGTGCCTGTGGTGAAAGGTATGTATTCCTGAAGACACTCAAGTCTAGCGATAACAGCTTGATAAAAGCTTACGAAACCCTTCTTAGACCCGCGATTTGGATAAAGGGGTTCCATTATCTTTGGTTTCGACATAGTATCACAAGTGTAAGGAATTTGTAACCTCATGTTTACAGCTCCAGAGGAAAAACTTCTGCTGCATTCTAGTTACAACAACACAAATCATTCATTTTCAAAATCAGTATTAGTTTTATTGCTAAGTAGGTTTTCACATACAAGGAGTTTAATATTGTGATTTTGTGCTTTACAGTAAACACTGTGGAAAATAATTAAAGACAGATAAAAAGATTTTAAGTAATTAAAAGCAACAGAATTGTTTAAAGCATGCAGGAATGTACTAATTATTCACTTGAGAAGCTGCAAATTTGCATAATATATGTTGTAAACAACTTTAGATGTGCAAATGATAGTAAAATTCCAATCCAAAGGGTTCATTAAGTGCTGCCCACAGACAAATAGTTTAATTCTTAACTCCTTCCCACCTCCTAAGACCTTGTGCCTCTGGTTGCATTCAGTCAAGTTGCTTAGATGTACTGAGATTCCAGATTCAGTTTAATTTTCATTATGCATCACAAGATTGTATGTTGAAATTAAAGGTATCATCTTATTTTGCTACTCATAAAAAAATGCAAAAATATTCAAAGAATAAATAATCAAATATTAAAAACAAAACAATTGTCAATAACTCGCATTCACCGTAAACTCAGGTCAGTTTACACAGTTAATTGTGTCAGAAGTAAATCCAAACAAGGATGAGAACTGAGTTTATGGTGAATGAGTCAAGGCTGCCTTGTCCCTATTTGGCCACATGATCTCTGAGTTTGACCATGAAAAACTGATGAAAAAAAAATCCTGAGCTGTATTAAAGCTGTCTTTTGTGATCTGTGCTTTCCTGTTCAGAACTGGGCTCTATGGGAGTCAGAGCTTTTTGGAGTCAGCACCTGCTGGCTGCCATGGTACTGCAGGTTTTTGACACTTCTGGGTTGGCTTCATTTTTCCGGGCCGGTTGCTACGTCTATGCATGGCATATGCGATTCTGCACGTAATTTGGCACAGACAGGTTGTGTCTGTGGTTGTGACCAAGGCTCAAGGGAAGCAAAATATTAACAGCAGATACCACTAATTGCTTTGCTTCTTTCCTTTCCTTCCTTCTCTGATTGTTATCTCAGGAGACTTTAGTCATACATCACTCTCTATCACTCTCCCACATTTTGCCAGTATGTGCACTGCCCAACCGGAGACGGTGGGGCCTTGGACTTGCTGTGTGCGGACACCGGGGATGCATATTACTTAATTACTTAATTATTGTTATTTTCTTGTACTTTCTTTCTATGTTTTTGGATGCTGCTGTTTACAATAATTTCCCAG